GAGCCCGCGGCGCTGCCCCCTCCCCTCCGCTCCCGTGTCCCTTCCCCGCCTCCCCCAACCCCTGTGTCCTCTCGGGGCCGTGGGTGTCCCGCGGCGGCAGCAGCGCCTCGGCGCGCTCCCCAAGTGTGAGCCTGCCGGTCTGGCACGGCGGGGTCGGGACGTCGGGGTCTGTGGGGCGGCCGGCCACCCGCCGGCCCCAGGTGCTGGGTGCGGGCGGGTCAGCCGGGTCTCCTGATGTTGACGAGCCCTCTGCCGGCTCAGTTGCAGTCTGCTGCCGTGGTGGGGATAGGTTAGGTTAGCCCCGGGCGGGCCCTCGTCTCGTCCTCTGTAAGGTAAAGCGTTCGGGTGCAGTGCTGCCGCTTCCCGGGGACCCCCGAGGGTGGGCAGCCCAGCGCTGCCACTTGGTGCACAGGGAGCGGGGCCTTTGCTGAGCAAGAAGAGCTGGACACTCGGGATCCCGTGGCGCGGAGTGTTGTCACCCACCACCACCTGCTGCGGTGGTCTCCCTGCTGGGATTGTCATGGGATTGGGCGGGGGGGCGGCTTTCTTGTGCTTGAGTACTACTTGGATAGACCCCAGCTTAGCGATTGAAAAGTACATTAGGGAAAAATACTGAATTTGGATGAAAGGCTGGAAGAGCCAAGTGGGTACTGGCCCTTTAAGCCTGTCCCCCGCCCGGCGGCTCTCGTGGCCTGTGGGAGGGCCCTGCTGAGGTGGCATCCTCGAAGTCCCTCCACTGCAGATTGGGTGCCGACTTCCCAGGACCACGAGTCCAGCTCACACCAAGTCTACAGTAGACTGCAGTCTGAAAAAAGACTAATCCTGTGCGGATCTGGATTTTATTTTGTCTTATTCGGAAGGTTGTGGGTATTCAGGGTACTTTGAATAAAGTTTTCCCTTGCAGGCTGGCTGTGGGGATAAAGGTGAACACTTGTAACTTTGAAAGACAAAGGGAGAAGCTGGGGCTTTTGGCACCCTCCGTACCAGGTCCCAGGAGAAAGATGTGGCAGTCTGCTCTCTCAAAGATTACAGCCTTGGAAACCCTGTGGGGCAGTTCTACTCTGTCCTGTAGGTTCACTATGAGTTGGAATTGTCTTGAAGGCAGTGGGTTTGGTGGCTGGTATACCTAGTCCTGTGGAGTTTTTAAAGCAGTAAGATTCTCAGTTGTGGCTGAAGTAAACAAAATTAACTACTGGCCCACCCCTGACAAACTCCAATCCCTACATGACCAGTGCGGTTAGCCTAATAAAAGTCTCCGGTGGGACAAACTCTACGCTCCCAACAACTAGGAGTCCCGATTTTTAATTCCTCAGTTCCCCTCTTCTATAGAACACCTCTCCCCACTCCACTCCTCAGTGGCGGCTGGTTCCCTTTGCAAAGACGTTTCCTTTCGAAAAAGTAATTGGCAGAATTTAGCCACCTAAGTAATTCCTTGTTCTAGAAGCAAAAAAACGAAACTCCTTTACAGACTTCTTTATTGATGTGTGTTTGCTGGCACCGAGTTTGACACTCTATTGATTGTGTGGCCTTTGTGACAGTTCCTTGGCAGTGGACAAGAAGGGTCTTGGTGTCTCCTGTTCTTTCTTTAGGTCTGGTTACACCTGCTGTATAGTTAAGCTTTGCTGTCACACACTCGCAAGGACATTTGAAGTCCAGGTTGAGAATAGCCGTTGTACTTGGTTGGGGTTGGAGCAGCCACAGCCGTGAAGGACTATGACGTGTGGCCGTCCTGGGATAGTCAAAGGAGGGAAAAGAGGAGGGGCTGCCTGTGTCTGCGGGAGTCTGTGGGGAAGAGTGACTGGTTCCCCGTGGCCAGCAGGGGGAAGGAGTTGTAGGTTTTGGCGCAATAGAAACAGACCGTTTTCAGAGCCTCCAGAGGTGGGGCGGGCGCCCGCGGAAGTGATGGGGTTCCTGTCCTGGTGTTCAGACGCTGCAGGGAGTGGTGTCTGAGGCCCCTCTGACCCTGACTTGAGCAGTATTCTCAGATCCAGTGCGCACCTGAGGTGGCCAACGTCGAGCAGCTGTTCTGTGGTAACTGGCCTGCGGGAAGCCTCCTGGGAGCTTCAGATAGCAGGTGAAGGCCCTGGGTGGAGAGCAAGTGCAGGTGGCACTGCCGCTGCTGCAGTGGGTGGTTAGGCCCACTGGGTGCAGCTGGGGTGGGCCCAGGAAGCAGTTCAGGAATTGTCGGGTGTCTCTTGGTGGGACCAGCAGCTGGGGGCAGTTTGGCTGGGAAGCCCTGGTTGAGAGCAGGGAGGAGGGCTGAGTTGTCGGCCTTTCATAGAGACTAACCTAAGAGCCGGGGGACCACATACTGCTGAAGCCCTGCAAATGGGGTTTTGAGTTACGTAAGAGAGAAGGCAGCCACCACCCCCGTGTTTGATGACATGGAGCTCTCGTGTCTCTCGTGGTTTCCCTGAGTTTCCAGCTCTGACAAACTGCCATTGGAAATCCAGACTTGTAGGCCGTGCATCCTGTCTAACCAGTCTGGAGCTCTCTGGAGGTCTATTCTCCCTGCCCTTTCCTGCTGCCCACGTAGGGGAGTGGGGCAGACAGACTCAGCCCAGGCTTTCCTTGTTGGATGTTAGCGAGAGTTCAGGTGTGCCAAGGACCCGGCCTTAAGCCACTTGGGCTAAGGGGGTTCAGCAGCAGGCTTGTTGGAATTAACTTCTCCGGAAAGTGTTTGGGCAGTCTCAGAGGAGACCGTGAGGAGTCACCCAGCAAAGGAGTCACGTCTCACTGTGTGCTCCAGGTGTGGGGTGAGAACAGAGCTGTGGGCTGAGGCTTGGGGGGCTCCACTGCCCGGCATCTCTGAGACTTGCCTGGTGCAGGAGAGCTGAAGCACCCGTGGTCCGTGGAGGCCCAGTGGAGAGCGTGGGTGGCGACTGAGATCATGTGGATGGACCTGGCCTGGGCCTTGAAGGCAGTAGTGTCAGTGGGCGGCTCTGCCAGGTGGAAGGCCATCAGCTCTGAGCATGTGCAGCCCGAGTGGAGGAAGGGCAGGCGGGTGCACCAGGGCCAGTGGGCAGCCAGGGCCTTGACTTCACTGCTGGGGGCTCTGACCTGGGACGCTGCTAACCTCACCCAGCTGGTGAGCATGGACAACTGTCACTTGGGATCCCAAGGAGCGGCCATCCACACGCTGTGCGGGGACAGCTGCGGTGATGCTGGTTCAGCTGGAGTTCTCCCTTCCTTGCCGTCATCTTCACTGATGAAGAGTCGCAGGGTGGAATTTGTTAGAGCTGCTCTTGACTAAGTGTCTCTTGGTCAATTTGTCCTCACTGCTGCCCCTTCAGCCTCAGAGTGGACCTGTGTGTTTGGTGGGACCGGGCTCCAGGGAGGCTCTGCCGCGGCATGTAGTCATTTCTCCAAGCGAGTCAAACATCTCGATCTCAGCCAGCAGTGCACTCCGGGAGTGCCACGGTCTGCGTCTACACCAGGATGATTAGACACTTAAATCCAAAGTCTTCCAGTGCCTCCCAGGTTCCCACGAACTGCATTCCCGACGCCTGAACATGTGTCTTTCAGGCAAGATTGTTGGGGTGCTGTTCTCCAGTTAGGTGGGATGCTCTTGTTACTGTAATTGGTGCTGATATTTCAAATTCATGCCTTCTTCTGCCTTAAAATTTGTCTTACTAAAGCTCAGGAGTATAGTCAGTGTTTTGGGTCTCTACCTGGCGGCCTCATCTATCCGCAAGTCCCCCAAGGCAAGGTGACCACGCACTCTTACCTTACAGAGTAGCGCTTCGTTCTTTGAAGGTCCCTTCTCACCCCGCAATTTTGCGATCTGGTTTCTGAACCCTCAGTGGCTTAGAAGGAACCAGAGGGCTTTTACAGAGTCACAGCGAGAAGAACAAAGTAACTGCGGAATGTACAGCGCGCTCTTGAGGACGGTGGTTTCTGGTAATCCTAGAAAGCTCAGAGGCCGTGGGAGCTCACCATCCGTCCGGTGTTAGCAGCGCAGTGTGTACAAGCTCCTGGTCCTGACTCGGCGTCCAGAGAGAGACAGCGCACCATGAGGTTCTCGAACCGTGCAGGGGAGCAGACCATCAGTTTAATGACAGTTTCCCTTCCAGTGGTTAAATGTGAAAGTTCTGGCCGCTAAGGGGTCACTCCCTCAGCTCCCTGGGAAAGTCATCTTCTGAAGGTTCTGGGTGGTGTGGGTTTTACTGTCACGTGCTTTGTCTGAAGCTCATGGCTTAAAGGAGAGCTTCACTACTTTTTTTTCATCCTGAGAAACTTGCCTAAGTATTGGTAGTAGTAACCAAAATGTAAATAATATTTTGCCCTTTTCTGGCTGGGGAGTAGAAGGGGCTGGGCTTACAATGCAGATGAGTAACGTTTCTCTGGTTCTCCCCCTCGTACACCACACTAGCAGAAGCTGGCAGGCTGACAGGCGCCTCAGGACGGACTTTCTGGCTACTGACCGTTTCGCTGGTGAGTTGACCGTGGTGGCCGCAGCCGTCCTGCTCCCAGCCTGTGTGTGGCCCGGGGAGGGGAGGTGGGTGGGCCTCTTTCATTACGTCTCATCTCCTAGTTTCCAGGGGCCCTTCAGAGATAGTCTCTGCAGCCTCCCGTGGTGTGTTATAGAAATTATGCGAAAACGCCCCTTGTTACTTGGCCCTCTTGTATGTTTGCCAAGGTGGTACAGGTAAGCTATTTGGTGCGTAACTATGAAAAGAGAGTGGGTTCTTCCCAGTTGGGGTGCAGAGCTCACCAGGACTGACACTGAGTAATCGCGGGAGGCAGGGGCTAACCCCTGTCATCAGGTCACCTCATCCCCCCAGTTGTCTGGTGACCGAGAGGCCTGACCCCCTGTCCAGACACAGGAACCATGACTCCCCTGCCCATCCCTTTCCACTGCTTTGGCCAGCTGGTACTCAGGGTGGAGTCTGCAGCCAGCCTGCCTGGGCTCCTGCCCTGGCCTGGGGAGCCGTTGGGAGTGACCCCAGAGCCGGGCAGCCGACTGTAGGAGAGTGACCGGACTGACACGTGTCAGAGGCATTTAGCACAGTATGTGGGCCCAGCACCGTCATCACCCAGCACGGAAGGAGCCTTGGGTCCGGGCTGTTCAGTCCAGTGGGCTGAGACAAGTGCTTTGCCAATTGATACGTTTGCCTTTTGAGCCACCGCCACAGGTACATTGACTGCGCGTCAGGCGACGTGTGAGTGACATGCAGTCACGCAAGTGCTGCTCTACCCGGGCGGTGCCGGGTCCAGTGGGCATGCGGCCCTCCGGCAGGGGGCAGATTGTGTCTCAGTGCCCCCTGAGGCTCCACCTCTGCAGTTACAGGGGTGCTATGAGGGCACAGTTGACCCAAGACCCTCCCTGGTTTTGCATTTTTCCCTTTCCATAACTTCGTGAGAGTTTGCGTATCAGAGGTTGTAAGTGAGGAAAATAAAAACGTGCAGCTTGCTGGTCAGAGAGACTAAAACTTGTTGCTAACAGTCTCCTAGGGAATCGGGAGTTGGCTGTGCCTCTGACTGTTTTCTTCTTTGATTGGTTCTTCCTGCTGCAGTGGCTTCCCCGGACTGTGTGTAGCTGTGCAACCAACAATGAGCTCCGTTGCAGTTCTGACCCAGGAGAGCTTTGCCGAGCACCGGAGTGGGCTGGTTCCACAACAGATCAAAGGTGACACCCTGTGTGCGCTCTTCTTGCCAACTCTCAGGCGCTGCCCCTCCAGCCCTGTGGCCTTCCTGGAAGTGCTTTCTGGCCCTCCGGTTGTTGAGCAGGGCCAGGAGCCTGTCAGTGTCTGCACCACAGTAGGCGAGGAACAGGGCTGGCTAGGCAGGGACAGGTAAATCTGGACACAGTTTTAAAATACAGACAGTGTTCTCGAGAGCCAACGAATGTGGCCGTTGGTAATTGATGGGATCCCTTCTCAAAGCTGCTGTTGCCCTGTTGTGCTGAGACCTAGGCTGTGCACACCCAGAAGCCCACTGTGGGGGTGAAGGCCAGGCCTGGCTTCTAGCTCTCTCAGACAGCTGGCCAGGGTCAGTAATAGTGCCATCAGTAGAAACAGGACGCAAGCCCCAGAAGTAGTTTTAAATGTTCCAATACGCATGTTACGTAGAAAGAAATAGGCGAGGTTACTTTTAATATATAGACGGTCCCCGGGGTATGAAGAAGTTCCATTCCTAAGTCTGTCTTTAGGTCAAATTTGTACATAAGTTGGAACAGTTCGGTGTAGTTCATATCTAACAACAGTCAATTGTTTGTTTTAGTATATATAGTATATAACGTATCTTTCTATGTATAAAAACGTTAAAGAAACACTTCCAGATACACTAAAACATATTTAGTGTAGTATTACAGTAATAATAGTTTTTTGATATACATTGCAAAGGAGCGCCCGTTTGGTATTATGAACCATTGTATGTATCTTGCATTTTTAATATGATAGGCTTTCCGGGGGTTGGTTCATAACTGCGGCTTGTAAGTCAGATGTTTGTAACCCGGGGACTGCCTGTATTTTATTTAGCCCGGTATATATAAAACATGGTCATCTTAATATCTAATGTTAAAAAAAAAGATGTGATATTCTTCTCCATTCTTTTTTTATGAAATTATGTGTATTTTACGACAGCACATTTCCATTCAAATACAAGATTTTCATCTGAAATCCTTGATGTATTTAGATGTCATAAAATTTATAGCTTGAAAGAGTAGATTTACATATCCAAGTTATTTCAAGCATACCTGAGAGTTTTCCATGAACTCAGTCGAGTATCCCTTCTTAACGTTAAAATTAAATAAAATTAAAACACGTTTCAAGGGCTCAGTAGCCGCATGTGGCTGCTGTTTGGGGCAGCGTGAACCTGGGCACTCAGCGGAGGCTGGAGTCTGCGTAACCCAGCAGCCCTTTGGAGGTGTGTCTTCGTTTATAGACAGGAGTAAGATGCTGGAAGAGTAAAGCTGCTTATCAGCACAGCTGGGCATTTATTGGTGTTCTTGGGCTGCCCCGCCGTGCTGCTCGAGAGGGCTGGAGCCAGGAGTCGGAGTGGGCCTGGCTGGTTCCAAAGGTCAACCTCCTGTTCTTTGCATACCTTCATTCCAGTGTTATCTCATCCAGCTTGATCTGTGCCAGACAGTGTGTGCGGCCCCAGGGACTTGGGTGACCCCTGACAGGCACTCTCTGCTTTCCTGAGGGCTCAGTGGCCCCGACAGGCACGCCTGCTTTCCTGGGGCCCCTGCTTGGTGGGGCGGGAGCCCCTGGTTGGCAGGAGTATGACAAGGGCACCGTGGCTGCTCAAGGAGCCTGGTTTTCTGCCCCGTGGAGGGGTCGGGGGGAAGATGAGGTGTGGTGGGTCCCACAGAGGCCTATGTGGTGCCCACGTGGCGAGTCAGCCGGGACTGCCTCAGAGGCCTCTTGTGGGCAGCACCGCAGCACCCCGTTGTTTGGTTCCGCAAGTTTAGGGGCGCTGTGTGCCCGGCATCATGGTAGGTGTGGCTTTTTAGTTCAGCGTTAGTTACTCTCGAGGGCCTGATCATCTCGTGTGGCCAAGCCGGCCTTTCATGGAGCTTGCCCTGGTGGGAGGGGTTGGAGCATACACCACCTTGGCCAACTTCTCATGGGAGGCAGGACTAGGGCCTGGCCTCCCCTCAGGACTGTACACTGTAATCCTGGGCACGTGCTGCCCCCTCAGCAGGCACAGCGAGGAGGTGCTGGGCTGGGGAACCTCAGTGAGCCCATCCTGACCTCCTGTAGCCCTGTCCCATCACTGCGAATGACAAGATTATGGTGGTTGGGGGAACCGTCACTGGGTCAGTTGGCATCTTCTCTTTATGTTGAAACCTTTGAAGTATTTTTCATCTGATGCTGAAAGCCACGTGCTTCCTGTTAATCTGGTTGCCCCTGTTCCAGTTGCTACTTTGAATTCAGAAGAGGAGAGTGACCCTCCGACCTACAAGGATGCCTTCCCTCCGCTCCCCGAGAAGGCGGCCTGCCTGGAGAATGCCCAGGAGCTGGCCGGGGCCTGGAGCAGCAAGATCCGGCCCATCAAGGCTTCTGTCATCACTCAGGTGGGCGCTCCCTGCCCTCCCTCCAGGAAGACAGCAGGGAATGCCAGGAGGATTGAATATGCAAAGATGAATCTGCCGGAGGTGGGGGACGCTGTGGGAGGTTGCTAAGGGAGGCGGTCTTCTTAGGCCAGATTCTATCAGCACCCCACTCCGTGCGCCCCCACCCCAGTGTAAGCTCCGTGAGAGTGCAGCTTTCCCCTTACTCACCATGTACCCCTTGCTCCCAGAAGTAGGGCCGGCACGTGCTAGCTTCTCAGGTGATACTTGTCAAATTATCTGGTGCCGTTGTTTTTCACTTGACGAAATCTGGTCAGCATTCCCACCTGCAGGACCACTCCTGCCACCCACGTCCAGGGAGACCTCTCCGTCTCCTGCCTCCACCCCTCAGCCCACTGTTGAGTGCTCTTCTCTTCTGACTTCCACGATCTGGTGGCTTGGTTTTCTGTTGGCCTCACGAGTCCTGTGCTACCTGCATCAGTGATGCTGCGGCCCTCAAGACTGTCTCGGGCCCCCTTTTCTCTGCCTCACCTCCATGATCTCATGCTGGGCCCTCTTCCCTGTACTGTTGACTCAAAACCGCCTGCTCCCGCAGTCTCCCAGTGGGCCTCTGACGCCTGTCCAAGACAAGCCTTCCCGGTCTTGTAAATGCACTGCCTTCTACTTTGTAGCTCAAGGCAGAAACCCGGGGTCGTTCTTGATCTCCTGCCTCTGCTTTGCCCTCCTCAGTCCCTCTCCTAGAGCAGCCGGCGTTGTCAAGTAGAATGCATCCCTCTGCTTGAACCCTTCAGGGGCTCCCCATTTTACTTAGAAAACCAATGCGCCTCCTCACGGGGAGCCCCCAGGGTGGGCTGCCCCAGACCTACCTGGCTGACTGCCCCACGCATGCACACACGTTGCCGCCTCCTTGTTGATCACACCCACGCTTCCCTGCCTTTGCTGCTGTTCCCCTCGCCTTCGGCCAGCCAGGCTCCAGTGTCCTCTCCTCAGGAGGGTCCGTCCTCCCCCGGGGGCTCTCGCGGCCCTGTTTCGCCCCCAGCGCTGACCGTTGTCTGCTGTTCGTTACTTGTTCTTCATGTAACAAGGGCTCTGTCCCGGGGCTCACGGCGGTGCCTTCAGTGCCCGGGTACTGCAGCTGCACTCCTTTCTCCTCCTCCTCGCTCCACCTTCCCGTGGGTCTTGTCTGAGCAGGTGTTCCATGTGCCCCTGGAGGAGAGGAAGTACAAGGACATGAACCAGTTCGGAGAAGGTGAGCAAGCAAAAATCTGCCTTGAGATCATGCAGCGGACAGGCGCGCACCTGGAGCTGTCCCTCGCCAAAGACCAGGGCCTCTCCATCATGGTCTCGGGGAAGCTGGATGCCGTCATGAAAGCCCGGAAGGACATTGTTGCCAGACTGCAAACGCAGGTGGGTGTTCCCATGCAGCTGCCCCTGCCGTGTGCCCTGTGTGACGTGCTAGTGCTGTGCCAGGGCACCCCGACGCCATCAGACGCCGTTGCTCTTACCACTGGGGACACAGGATGGTGCAGAACGCCACATCAGGCGTATTGCTGGGGCCCCTACCATGTTGTGCTCCAATAGAATGAACTGAACGGGAGAGGCCGGTCCCAGAGCTCGGTACCCAGGAGGAGCTGGGCCTGCCTGAGGGGCAGGAGTCGGCGGACGTGGATTGGCCCTGGAGCTTTGCGTGAGAAGTAGCTGGCTCATTCGTTTTTAAGTACAGATGTACAGGCCCAGCCTTGGGAGATTCTAAATTCAAATTTTTGTTTTTTTAAAGCAGTTCGCTAGTCTTTGGTAGCCTGGTCCCAGTGCTTGGAGTTTATTTGGGGATTGTTGTAATAAGTCCGTCGTGATGCCCTTCTCCTACTAAGTGGTATCATGTCAAGACCACGATCAACTTAGAGCATTTTACTGACATGTAACATGACCAATGGGCTGCCCAGTGGGTCCTTCCAGCCAGCTGCTGACCCCTGTGGGAACCGGCTCTAGATCAGATAGGACGTGATCCAGAGAGGCTGCAGGGCAGGAGCCGGGGGCTCCACAGTGGAAGCATCCTCTCTGTCACTTAGTCAGCTACGGGGCCTGGGGAAGGTCACGAACCCTGTCTGGCTTCATGGAATTAAGTTGTTAAATGTCACCAAGTTGAAAATACGTGTAAATTACTTAGCATCGTGGCTGGTGTGTCGTTTAAGCTCTCAAACTTCTGCTGTGTCTGCCAGTCCAGACTGTTGTGTGATCGGGCGCTGTAGGGGAGGGTGCACTTCAGGCCCTGACCCACTCCCCTCCCACCCCGGGTCCTTCTGGAGCAAATCCCAGACGCACTGTTTCACCTGCACGTGCCCCCTGTGCCGTTAACTCACTTAATGAAGTTCATCGTAATTTATTAATGCCATTTCCGTATTCAGCCCAGTCTGTATTCGTGCTTCCCTTCTCATCTCAGAGATGTCTTTCCCGTTGGGCCCTTCAGATCCATCTACAGCTTGAGTCTGTTCCTAGTCTCAGTCAACTGGTGGGAACCCTGGAGCTTGATTTGTCCTGCTGTCTGTCATCACTTCTGCCCCCGGCGGTTAGCTCTCAGGGCTTGATCCCTGTTTGCTGAGTTTGCTTGGTTGGCGAGGAGACTGTGGGTGGGGCCACGTCTGCTGGCTCTTCCTGTGCTGATTCTGAGCTGGCTGAGTTGATTCCAGTGCTTGCAGCCCCATCCATCCGTCATGAAGCCCCTTGTCTGTCTCTCACTCGCTGGTTAAAGGTCTGCTGGTGATTGTTGCCTGAACTCACTGGGAGTTGCAAGTAATGATTTTCTAGTTCTGCCGTTCCTTCACACTAGCTGGTATTCTTGTAAACAACTTTCCTTCGTCCATTGTCTGTATGGAAATACAGGAAGGTAAGGGATCATTTGCTTGATCACTTGGTAAATTGTTATCGGTGGGTCTTTGGAGTGCCGTTGTGAACTCAGCTACCTTTGATGTGCTTTCGTCTGTGCAGTCCCTGTCTATGCTTGAAATGCCTCATCTTAGGCCAGTATGGGCCCCTTCAAGCGGGCTGCCATCCTCTTACGGCGTCATTTCTAGCAAAGAGCGTCTGGGCTAATCCTTCCACAACCTGGAATCAGCTCTGTGCCCAGGATCCCCGGCCCTCAGGCGACTGCGTGTACAGACCACAGTCTATATGCTCATGGCCCTGTCGGGGCGGAACCAGGACAGCAGGCTATTAAGAAGGAGAGCAGGCAGGCTTGCAGACTGCTGCTGGTTAATGCACACTTGGGAGTCTGGCTGCATTTGCACTTGTCACTTTTGTGAAAGTCTCCATTCCTAAAGATGTTAGCACAATGAATAGCTTTATTTTCACTGTCTCTGCGGTAGTTTGGAAACCCTGGTGGCATAGTGGTTAGGAGCTTGGCTGCTAACCGAAAGGTCAGCAGTTTGAATCCATCAGCTGCTCCCTGAAAACCCTATGGGGCAGTTTTACTCTGTCTTATAGGGTCACTTTGAGTCGGAATCCACTCGACAGCAACAGGTTTGGTTTTTTTGGTTTGTGATAGTTTAAAAACGATGATATCAGTATCACTCGCAGTGTTTAAGACCCCTAAGTGCACTTTAAGATTTTCTTAAATGCAGTCAGAACACAGCATCTGAGAGCCATTTGGAGTAATTCTCTCTCTGTTAGGGTTGTGCTGTCATCTTGATATACAGTGGGGTTCATTTGTTTCACCTTATTTTTCATGTTTTCAGATTATTTAAACGTTTATCTGATTGCAGAATCAGAACTCTGTATTGAGGGTGTCCAGAGAATTTGCTTTTCCAGCCCGCCGCCTCCTTCACCCGGTCCCCTCTGCTGTGGGTGCCCTGCCCCTTCTTCACCGTCCCCTCTGCTGTGGGTGACCTGCCCCTCCTTCACCCTGTCCCCTCCGCTGTGGGTGACCTGCCCCTCCTTCACCCTGTCCCGTCCACTGTGGGTGACCTGCCCCTCCTTCACCCTGTCCCCTCCTTCACCGTGTCCCCTCTGCTGTGAGTGACCTGCCCCTCCTTCACCCTGTCCCGTCCACTGTGGGTGACCTGCCCCTCCTTCACCCTGTCCTGTCCGCTGTGGGTGACCTGCCCCTTCTTCACCTTGTCCCCTCCACTGTGGGTGACCTGCCCCTCCTTCACCCTGTCCCCTCTGCTGTGAGTGACCTGCCCCTCCTTCACCCTGTCCCCTCTGCTGTGGGTGACCTGCCCCTCCTTCAACTTGTCCCCTCTGCTGTGGGTGACCTGCCCCTCCTTCACCCTGTCCCTTCCTTCACCTTGTCCCGTCCACTGTGGGTGACCTGCCCCTCCTTCACCCTGTCCCCTCTGCTGTGGGTGACCTGCCCCTTCCTTCACCTTGTCCCCTCTGCTGTGGGTGACCTGCCCCTCCTTCACCCTGTCCCCTCCTTCACCCTGTCCCTTCCTTCACCCTGTCCCGTCCACTGTGGGTGACCTGCCTTCCCCTGTGGCTTCTCTTCCCAGTGTTGTTGAGAGCAGAAGCAAAGGCTTGCTTGCCATAAACCCTGCTCTGCACCTGGCTCTTGTCCTTCCTGTTTTCCGGAGGTGTCTGCACGTCAGTCAATAGTGGTTTTGTTCGTTCACGCAGCTGCGTAAGGTTCTGGGTGTGTGCTGTGATTCGTTACAGCCCTCTCTGTCCGTGGCAGTTGGCTGGTTTCCAGACTTTTGCTGTTGTGAATTGTGTCACATAAAAATCTTGTGTGCGCACTGTTTCCTGCGCTGCCCAGTGTGTCTTGGGACAGATTCCTAGAAGTGAGCCGGCCAGGTCAGAGGGTCACCACACATGCAGTGTTGCTATATGTCACCGCGTTCCCTCCTAGGGAGCGGTGCCGGTGCGTACTCCACTGGCCGTGTCCCAGCGCCTGCTCCCTGTAGCCCTGCAGGCTCCTCGGTGGCTGGGCTCTGCCGGCCCGAAGGTGGCTGGGGGCACTTGCATTGGGCGTTTTTCTGATGAGCAAGATTGTCTTTTCAGCATCTTAAGGGCCATTTACCTGTGACTGGTCTGTTTGTGTCTCTTGCCCATTTTTCTATTGGCTTGTTTGTCTTCTCAGTTTTCAGGAGCTTAGTGTATTAGGACTTTTTGAAACCCTTCATCGGCAACGTAAGTCGCAAGTAATTTTTGCCAGTTGGTCCTTTGTTTTTTCACGCGTGTGTTTTGCTTTGTGAAAGTTTTATTCTTATATAGTGTAGTTTATTAATCTTTTATTATTTTTTGTCATTGTTAGGAAAGTTTCTTTTCACTTCCAGGTTGTAGGAAAAGCTGCCCATATTTTCTTCTGGTCCTTGTAAGGGTGTCCTGCATTTCGGTTCCTGTTCTGTTTGGAGTTGATTGGGAATGGTGTGAGCAACAGATCCCGTTTCATCTTTTCCATGTGGCTGTCGAGTTGTCAACACCATTTTTTCCAGTGATTGGAAATGTGCTTCGTAATTTGGGTTTACTGGAGCCTTGGTGGCACAGTGGTTAAGAGCTCAGCCGCTGACCCAAAGGTCAGCACTTCAGATCCACCAGCCACTCCTCGGAAACCCGGTGGGGCAGCTCTGTTCTGTCCTGTAGGGTCACTGTGAGTCGGAATCGACTCGATGTCAGCGGGTTTGGGGTTTTTTGGGGGGGTCTATTCCTGGGTGTTCAGTTACTCTGCTTTCATTGTAATGGTTTTACACTGTTTGCATGTCAAGTTCACCATCTCCCACCTGCCCCCTCATCCTGTTCTTTGGAGTTTTCCTGGCTAATCTGTTCTTACTTGTTCTGCCCTGCAGAGCTTATACTCAGTGTTTTCATCAAAGCTGCATGCGTTTTTTAAAATCGATCTTGGGAGAATTGGCATCTCTGATTTAAATTGTCTTTTAGAGCTTTGAAAGGAGCGTTTTCTAATTTTTAATACGTATATCTTACCTTTTTTGTTGGGCTGAAGCTTAGTTATTTTATGGTCTTTTTTTCTTGGACCTATTATTAATTGGCCTTCTTTTCCAGGACATCTTTAGCCGATTGTTTGCGTACATGACAGCCATTTCTTGTCCCTGGCGTGAGCAGTGAGAGTGTCATAAAGCTGTCACTCTCTGGGGACGTTGTTGAGCTGGGTTTCCAGGTCTGCAGGCGTGTAGCTGCACATCCTTGCCTCTTCCTGTCGCCTTTTCTGTTTGCTGTGCTTCCTCCTGCCACACCTCACTGGGGGCCACCTCCAGTGCGAGGCTCGGGGCCCAGGCGGGGCGTCCCCCCTACAGGTCAGGCTTTTGGGCCGAGAAGTGGCATGTTAAACAACGTCCGTTGGTTCCTATTTTGTTTTGAATTTTTTTCACTAATGGGTTTCAATTTTGAGGGGGGTGATCATTTGATTTTCTTCCTTAGATCAAAGATACAATGGATTATATGAATGGGTTTCCTGATACTGAACCGCTTTTGGAATAAGCCTCCTGTATTTTTTTAATGTGTGATTGGGTTCTGTCTGTGGCTGTTTTATTGAAGGTTTTCTCATGAATGGTCACAGTGAGACAGGTGGCTGGTGTTTTCTGCTGCGTCCGGCTTCTTTCTGCAGGCCAAGGCCGGTGGTGGCACTTTCTGCCCTGGTTGTTTCTTTGCTCTTCTATGTTACAATGTAACGTTTATGTTGAGAATGTTGAAGCAGCTCGTGGTAAGAGTGTATCACTTGGGAAGGAGGGAGGCCTTTCTGTAACGTAGCAGAAGGGCGCCTGTGTTGGGAGCCTTGGCACTTTCCCTAAGTCCTCTTAGTCTGGGTCTGTTTTCTGTAAAGCGCAGGAAGATGGGCAGAGCTCCGTCGTCCACCTCGGTCTCTCCGACCCTGAGAAATCTTCTCTCCAGCCTCACGTAGGTTGTTGATTGTTGCCATTTCTTTCCTCTGATGAGCTGTTACTTCCTCTGATTGTAAAAGACACAGGAGGATGAGGTTGTTACTAGACAACAAAGCTTATGTCTGAAAAAACAGCCTAGAATTGCAGAAAGACACTTAACGTGAGTAGCCAGCGGGCACTTGCTTTCTTTCCTTGTGCCTCGCGTGTGTTGGGATCCGATGCGAGTGGAGAACACGGCAGGTACTGTTCTTGAATGCTCCTGTCCCCTGATGCGTATAGCTGGTCTGGGAGGACGTGGAGCAAGTAATGACCCTGAATATTGCAGCGGCTCCCAGAGTGGTGCAGGGACCAGTAGTCGGGGCCACAGGAGTGTACCACCTTGAACTTACCCCAGCCTGGGGCCAGGGCCCACTTCCCCAAGAACGAGACTTTTTAGCTGAGACTGTTCTAAAGGGTGGGTTGGGGTCAGCTGGGCAAGAGCAGACAAGAACGGCACTCCTGCCAGAGAGCGTATCACGCGAGAAAAATAGGCCTTTTCTGAACCTACGGTTTTGTTTTCTTTGACTCTTTTCTGTTGTAGGCCTCGGCGACTGTTGCTATTCCCAAAGAACATCATCGCTTTGTGATTGGCAAAAATGGAGAGAAACTGCAAGACCTAGAGCTAAAAACTGCAACCAAAATCCAGATCCCACGCCCAGATGACCCGAGCAATCAGATTAAGATCACAGGCACCAAAGAGGGCATCGAGAAGGCTCGCCACGAGGTCCTGCTGATCTCCGCAGAGCAGGTGTGCAGACGCCCTCCTCCTGCCCGCCGCGACCTCGCCTTCCTGTGCATGCAGGCCCTGCAGCTCGCCCGGGGAGGCGTTGAGACCCATGGGTAGCTGGGCACACCGATGCTGGCTGTGCCGCTGTGGCCTGGGCACTGACTCTGAGCGCCTGTCTGTCCCATCAGGGCGGTGCTGGTGTGTGCCCAGAGCCATGGTCTCACCAGGCCACTCTTTCCCCAGGACAAACGTGCTGTGGAGAGGCTGGAAGTGGAGAAGGCCTTCCACCCCTTCATCGCTGGGCCCTACAATAGACTCGTGGGCGAGATCATGCAGGAGACGGGGACGCGCATCAACATCCCACCCCCCAGCGTCAGCCGGACGGAGATCGTCTTCACCGGGGAGAAGGAACAGCTGGCTCAGGCAGTGGCGCGCATCAAGAAGATTTACGAGGAAAAGGTACGCGGCTTGGCGGGGCAAAGTCCCGCACCCGGGAGGGAAGGACAGGAGTGATTGTGTTGAAGAGCAAGCCCCATCCTTGAGAGCTGAGGTGTCTGGGCTTTGTTCACTTGCTGCCGACCAGCTGCTGTGGCCGGGCCTCTGCTCCCTGGGCAGCAGTGTCTCTTCCTCCTGCCTGCCCCACCCTCTGACTGTCCTGCCTGTTGACACCTAGAAAAAGAAGACCACCACCATCGCAGTGGAGGTGAAGAAGTCACAGCACAAGTACGTCATTGGGCCCAAGGGCAACTCTCTGCAGGAGATCCTGGAGAGGACTGGGGTTTCCGTGGAGATACCGCCCTCAGACAGCGCCTCAGAGACAGTGATCCTGCGTGGCGAGCCCGAGAAGCTGGGGCAGGCACTGACCGAGGTCTATGCCAAGGTGACTGTGCCTCACTGAGACCCCGGGAGGTCCTGGGCCCTGGGGGGGGTGGAAACTGTGCCAGGCTGGGGCCTTGCTCGCCCCCCAAGCCCTAAGCGAGTGACCTGGCAAACCCATGCGTTTGTTTTCATATTTTCCCAGGCCAACAGTTTCACCGTTTCCTCTGTCTCTGCCCCCTCCTGGCTGCACCGTTTCATCATTGGCAAGAAAGGGCAGAACCTGGCCAAGATCACACAGCAGATGCCAAAGGCAAGGGGCGTTCTTGAGTTGGTTCCGTGGAGTGTCTCCCGTGTTCTTTTCTCAGCTCTTACGTCCCATTTCTGATGTTTGTTTTCATTGCTACTGCTGTTGCCCCAGGGGACGCTTTGAAGACTGAGACACTTTTCAGAATCCTTTATCCTGTATGGTACAGTTAGTTGCTTGCTCATGAAGGAGGAGCAGAATACACTTATTTAGATATCTGTGTCATTGTTTTGTTCTTTGTAATCAGGGAGAGGGTGTTGTTGCTAGGTTTAATAAACATCTTAAGAAATATCCTATTTGGTAGCTATGATAATTTCTTAATAGTGACATCAGTGGCTTTTGAAGAGCAAAACTTTAATATACAGATTTGTGTTCAGTGTGCAGTTAATGGGCCTTTTCATCCTCTGCCTCCCTGTCCTTAAAGTCTTTCCTGTTCACTGAAGGAGACAGGAGCTCTCTATAAACTTCAGCAGAAACACCAGTGACCACGTGTCCGTTGTACTTTATTCCTGTTCTGTTTAGACTTCCTTTCCCATTTCCTATTCAGTCGCTTGGCTTTTTCTGGGCTCGCGTTCCTGGTTCACGTAGATAGAGCTGCTCTCGTGGCAGGTCTTCCCCCAGTGAACTTCTCATACGCTGCGTCCCATGTCCTGTGCCATCAGAGCCAGAAGGGAAGGTGGCTTGTCCGTGTAAGAACAATGAGTTCCTGTGCCACTCCAGCACGGTGCTTGTTTTAAAACGTGGTCCCCGCCAGCTGCACACTCCTTATAGAGCTGGAGAACAGTCAGGATTCTAGAGACGGGAGCTGAAAGTGACACCTGAGACGTGGACAGCAGAGGTGCTGCTGTGCTCTGAGTCAGTGGTTGGGGCGGGCACCGTATGGGGGATGTTGGTGAAAGGGACAGGAAGAGGCGACAGTGTTTAGTATCAAGACGGTGGGTCTCCCTCGGCTCTCCTTCCTCACTCTGCATGGTGTCTGCTGGCGTGACCCTCCCACGCGTTTACTTGAGGCAGGTCTGGGTCTGCAGCTGCCCCAAGAAGGCCCTGCTGGCCCCATGCTCTCAGTTGACTGCATGCGGAGCTGGGTCACCACATTGGGCCCTCCAGCCTAACCGCCCTCCCTTGTTTTTGGTGATGGGCAGGTTCACATCGAGTTTACCGAGGGTGAGGACAAGATCACCCTGGAAGGCCCCACAGAAGATGTGAATGTGGCCCAAGGACAGATTGAAGCCATGGTCAAGGACTTGGTGAGCTGTGGGCGGGCGGGCAAGGAGCATGTGGGCTGTGCATCCTGGAGGTGCATCGGGTGGCGTCAGGGCAAGGGGCAGGCTCTAAGACAGTCGGGCCGTCCGTCCAGAAGAACGGTGAGTAGAAGAGACCTTGTTCTGAAGAGGAACCCTGCAGGGGAGCCCGAGGGGCAGTCCTGCTGACAGTCATGGTTAGAAATGCCACAGTGGACAGCTGCCAGGCCTTGGGTCTCCCTCTCAGTCCACGGGCTTATCACACCCACGGCCACAGCATGTCCCCTCTGATGCCTGCACCCTTGTACTCTCCCTGCAGATTAACCGGATGGACTACGTAGAGATCAACATTGACCACAAGTTCCACAGACACTTGATTGGGAAGAGCGGATCGAACAGTGAGTGAGCCCAGGGCGGGGCGCACCTCTCCAGCACATCCCAAGGCGAGCTCAGCCTTGACAGCTGGGCATCCGTGTGGACAGCCGCCCAGGCCAGGCTCTCCTTGTCTGGGGAAGTCCCCACCAGGTCGCCTGTCTGCCCTCAGCAGGGGCTGCTTCATTCTTCCCCTGGGGTGGTGGTTGATGCGTATGTAGAGTTTAGCCTTGGGTGGCGTCTTGCTCCCTCAGAGATCCCCCTCCTCACCCTCCCTGTGTCACCCAGCTCTCAGCCAGGCCTGTGGGCCGCAGACCACCGGGCTCTGGTGCACACTCCCTGCTGAACGTGCCCTCATCTGGGTCACCAAGGGCTGAGAAATTTCTGCACTGTGCTCAGGTCACACAGCTCAGGATTGTGTTGAGCAAGCAGTGAAGGGCCCGAGCAGGTTGCATCGACTTAGCTACCTCGGGTTGAAGGCACAGTACAAGTCTGCGGTGACGCCATGCAGTGCCGTCATAAACCAGGAAGGTGGGGCAAGGATGAGTTATCCTGCCACCCCTGGCAGCTGTACTTGTTTCAAAATTTGGCCCTTGCTGGCTGCGTCATTTCTTACACAGCCAGAGAGGAGTGGGGATTCTAGAAGACGAGCGAGTAACAGATACATGAATAGTAAGGGTGTGGACGTGGCCCTGTCGTTAGCACCCAGCAAAGGAGTCTTTCAGCGACACCGCCCTCCCTGCACGTCCTAGTGCCCGCGTGCTCTGAAGGCAGCTTCCTCCCCTTCAGGTGGAGAGGCGAGAGACTGGAGCCCATACCCAGTTGACAAAGGGTTTGAGCTGGGGTTTGGGGCCTGATGTGCGTGGACATGGCGACGCCCGTGTGAGGGGGCCGCTGCTCTGCCCTCGTGGTCCCACTGCTGTGGCTGCAGCACCGAGCCGCCTGGGTGGCATCGGCATGGTGCCTGGGGGTGTTTCTAAGTGACGGGGACTCGAGTCTCCCCATGCAGAGTCACTTCAGTTGGCTTTCCCTTTACGGCTGATAGAACTGTTCAGATACCATCATTGCTCTTGTTATAAGGGCCTTGGCTTTTAGTGGGTCTTTTTTTTTTTTTTTTTTTTTTTTTTTGAGAACGTGATGTTTACACTTGAACAGCAGTTCCCAAACATGTCCACTCATCAGGAACACCTGGGGATCTTTTAGCTATTCCAAAGACCAGGCCGCACCGAGGCACGATCCCTGTGGGGTCAGGATGGGGAACCACGGCTGCAGAAACCCAGCCAGCTCTCTGCAGATGCAAGAAGTCTTGCTTCTGGGGCTGGGTCACCACTTTGGCTAACTGGGTGTGGCTACTCAGGCCCCCCGGGTTTGGTCGCGGTGACTGTAGCCCATCCTGTGCTCAGACGTCTTTGCATCATTCTCCAGTAAACAGGATCAAAGACCAGTACAAGGTGTCCGTGCGCATCCCTCCCGACAGCGAGAAGAGCAACCTGATCCGAATCGAGGGCGACCCGCAGGGTGTGCAGCAGGCCAAGCGGGAGCTGCTGGAGCTGGCCTCGCGCATGGTGAGCGGCATAGGCTGCGTGGGGTGCTGCGGGCCTGCCGGCCGGGGGGCCTGTGTGGAAAGGCACAGTCAGGGCTCAGTGCTGGGGGAGAGCCCCAGATGTCGCATTGGGCAGGCGTGGGTCGGACTTGCTGGGGCCGTTTCTCCCACACCCAGATGACCAGTGCATCGTGCTTGCCGGCGCTGTGCCGTGCACAAGGCTGGAGCTGTGCACCAGGGTCCCCTGCCACCCGGCGCCCACTCCCAAGCCTGGTTGACTATGGTGGGCTGAGAGCACTGCCTCTGCACCCAGCTCTGTGGAATGAGAGCCGCGCCAGAAGCGCAGCACAGCACAGAGGACGTCTTGCACAAAACGCCGCAGGCTAGGGAGCAGGCCCCGCCTGGGGTTTCGTGCCCTCCAGAGTTACCCCAACCCTTCCTTGTCCACACTGGGAGTCTCCAAATCCTAGAACTGCTTTTTATTGTCAAGGGTTTTGTTTTTGTTATCTATTGCTGCTATAACAGGAGTACCACAGGTGAATGAATGGCTTTAACAAAGAGGAGTTCTCTCACAGTCTAGGAGGCTACAAGTCTAAATTCAGGGCATCAGCTCCAGGGGAAGGCGTTCTCTCTCTCTCAGCTCTGGGCAAAGGTCCTTGTCTTCAGTCTTCCCCGATCGAGGAGCTTCTCAGCACAGGGACCCTGGGTCCAAAGAACGTGTTGTGCTCCCGGTGCTTCTTTCTTGGTGGTACAAGATCCCCACGTCTCTCTGCTCATTTTTCTCTTTTATATTTCGAAATAGATTGGTTTAAGACACAATCTAATCTTGTAGATTGAGTCCTGCCTCATTAACGTAACCGCCACTAATCCCATCTCATTAGCGTCACGGAGATAGGATTTACAACACGTAGGAAAATCACATCAGGTGACAGAATGGTGGTCCATCACACAATGCTGAGAATCATGGCCTAGCCAAATTGATACACATATTTTTGGGAGACACAATTCAATCCATAACAGGTTTTTACTCCAGCTCCAATCTGGGCTCTCGTCTGGTCTCCTGCAGCCCCCTGGCTGTCCCCGAGGTCATTCTTTGGCCTGGTATCCTGGGCTTTCCTCTCTGCCAGTGCTGACCCTGGCATGCTTCCTCCTGGGCCCACCACCCTGTAGTGTCTGGTGTCCATTTGGGATTACTGGTTTCTGAACCCTCATCTCTGTCAGTCCAGTCTAGAGTCTCCCACAATTCTTGGAAACGTTTAATTGGCTGATATGTTCTTCCCTGTATTCCAGCTCTGCTTGTTGTTCTGTTTTCCTTCTGGCATTTTAACGAGCTCTGGGGAGAGCCACGTGGGCTCACGCCCTGTGTGGAACCATTCTTTAACTCTCCACACAAGGAAGTAGCCTGAGGTGACTGCAGAGAACTGGGCGTGGAAACAGAAGCACCAACTGGGTTGCTGTGGGGTTATCGTCACCTTGGTAGCACATTGGTTGATGGGTCTGGCACTTGATCCTTTCATTGTACCTTGTTGAGGAGGATATTGACAACCAGTGTAACACAAAGTGTAATAGTTGTTGGAGAGAGCAGGTGTCTTGCAGTGGGGACTCCTAGGTGGCCGGGGCTCCCGGGGGTGCACCTGCAGGGATGCCACCTGGCAGCACCTCACCTGCTGCTCAGCAACAGCAGGCTGTGTGGTGGCGGTGGGCGGGCTGCGTGGCAGCAGTGGGCGGACCTCTGCAGCCTTGCTTAGCCCCCAGGCTCCCTGGTGCCACTCACATCAGCGGGAAGGGGCGCTGCTCACCTTTCTGTGATAAACGGATTGTCTCTTTCCGTTGTACTTCTAGGAAAACGAGCGTACCAAGGACCTAATCATTGAACAAAGATTTCATCGCACAATCATTGGGCAGAAGGGTGAACGGATCCGTGAAATTCGCGACAAGTTTCCAGAGGTAACGGCTCACAGAGGTGCTCTTTGATTGGCATGTGGTATCTTGGTAGTCCAGCCTCACTAGTCATTGATCTCGGTCTTGTGGTGATTTGTTCTAGGTTATCATCAATTTTCCAGACCCAGCACAAAAAAGTGACATCGTCCAACTCAGAGGGCCCAAGAATGAGGTGGAAAAATGCACAAAATACATGCAGAAGATGGTGGCAGATCTGGTAGGAAGGACCCCCACAGCGTTTATCATGGGACAGTGTTAGGGGCAGTGTTTTGGTTGGGCAGGGTTATCCTTCCTAGTTCCCCGCTCTTACCCCTGGGAGGCTGCATCAGGAAGCGAGCATAGGCCCTGGACATCTTGGTGTTTAAACTGGCAGAGACGGCAGTGCTGGTGCAGTTAAATGAGCAGGAAGACACCTTTCCTTGTCCCCTACCAGGCTCCTTTGTTCTCTTCAAATGCCTAGGCGTGGAAACTCCTAATAAGGAGAGAGCTCTAACACAACAAAGTGAGATGTTGGTTACTGGTTTACGATTGTCCTCAAAACCAACATGGGAGAAGAGGTTTGGGAGTGACACAGGGTGACTGAGTGAAGCTACAGACTGTTGTGTGCTTCCCACCAATGACTGCCCAAGTCAAGTCGGTGCTGGATTGGCACTGAGCACTGCCCACTCACGTTTGCTGCTGTGACGTAGCCGTGGGAGGCCAGCTTCCTGAGAGTCATGGGGTGCACATCTTGATGTGTGTTCTGTAGGTGGCCTGGACTCCCACTTACCCGGTGTGGTGAGGGTTCCCGGCTAGACTTGACAGCTTGTGCGTTGTAGAACACACGTACATCTAACGATTGTAGATGGTGTGCAGATTATACCGGCTGCCACTTTTTATCACACGGGGCTTTGAACCAATTGACTTGGGGCATGCCAGATACTGTGAGTTGTTAGACAAGTTATCACGCCTATCCCCATGACAGACTCTGATGGTCAGAGGGGTGGGGCGGGAAGTAGGACCTGAGGCTGTGTTTGCCAGATAGTAGCGCCCATGTTGTTTTCACACTGCCTTCAGAGTTAGAAGGGGTATCTCACTCTGCAGCATGAATGGTTGGTTAATTGTACCCTTTTGTTTGTTCGTTTGTTTTGAAGGTGGAAAATAGCTATTCAATTTCTGTCCCAATCTTCAAACAGTTTCACAAGAACATCATTGGGAAAGGAGGTGCAAACATTAAAAAGGTGACCAGCCTGTCCCCTGCACCTCAGCTCTTCTCACCCTGCCCCTTACCCCTGCACCATTCCTGATTTAGATTTGAAGGAGGGCCCCTTATTTCTCAGCCCTGCACTCCTAGCGTCTTTTGATTGTCGGAAGTCAACTTCACTCTCTCTCCTTGTAGATTCGTGAAGAGAGCAACACCAAGATTGACCTTCCAGCCGAGAATAGCAATTCAGAGACCATTATCATCACAGGCAAGCGGGCAAACTGCGAAGCTGCCCGGAGCCGGATTCTTTCTATTCAGAAAGACCTGGTAATGGCGAAATGTTTTATGATGGAGAGCCTAGAGGAGTTTTCCTGACGTAAAATCTCTGACAGCCTCTAGAGCTCTAGCCTGAGATTCAGCTATGCAGGGCCAGTGGGACCACCACCATGCCGCTAATATAGAAGATTGCAGTTTTACATCCAGGCCGCGTTAATCGGTCACCTTTCTGCCATTTATGATAGCATCTTCCTGCCCTTTATCTTGTTAAATGAGCTCTCCCGTCTGCTTGTTCTATCAATTAGTGAGAGAGGGGAACGGAAACCTCCGACTATAATTAGGGATTTGTTTACTACGATCAGTTTTTGCTTCGTGTATTTTGAAACTCTGTTCTTGAGTACACAGAACATTTAGGTTTGTTATATTCCCTTGATAAATTGACCCTTTTATCATTAAATGACCTTCTTCATCCCTGGTAAAATTCTTTGTTCTGAAACTTTCTCTGAGTTTCTTTTAGGCAACTTATTTTTTATTCAACCTGCAGTCTCTGTCTTTTAATTGGAATATTTAGACCATTTACATTTAATGTGATTATTTTTATGGTTGGGTGCAAGTCTGCCATCTTGCTGTTTGTTTTCTACTTGCCCCGTCTGCTCTTTGTTCTCATTTTGCTTTTTCTGCCTTCTTTTGGAGTGAATATTTTTATAGTTCCTCTTTAAAAAGCTTACAACGTGTACGGTACTTCCATTTTTCCCCCACCTTAACCTTTGTGTTTTGTTATCATACCTTTTGCTTTTGTCTGTTAGAAATCTGACAGTGAGTTCTTTCTGTTATTGTTGTTTAAGTAGTGAATTATTTTTAAAGAGATGTAAATAGTAAGGAAAAAAAATCTTAAATATTTACAATTGTAGTTACCATTTCTGGAGCTCTTCATTCCTTTGTGTAGATTTGTATTTCCATTTTCCTTCTGCTGGAAGGATGTACCACAACATTACTCCTAGTGCAGGTCTGCTGGTGATGAATTCTTTGTTTTTGCATGTCTGAATTTTTCTTTTCAATCTTCATTTTTTAAAGAATTTTTGCTACTAGGATGACAGTTTTCTCTCTTAGTACTTTAGTTCTTTCAGTACTTAAAATTTTGCACCACCCTTTTTCACTCGTGTTGTTCTGATGAGGAATCTGATTTCATTCTTAGTTTTATATATAATGAGTCTTTTTATCCCCCTGGCTGCTTTTTAGATTTTTATCACCAGTTTTGAGCAAGTTGTGTGTCTAGGTGTAGTTTTCTTTGTGTTTCTTTACTTGTGGGTCATTGAGCTTCTTGGATGTGTAGGTTTAGAGTTTTCATCATATTTTGGAAATTTTTTGGGAATTATTTCTTAATGTTTTTTCTGTTAACCCTTTTCCTTCAGGGACTCTTAATTTACATATATATTTGGCTGGTTGACATTTCCCACAGTTCACTGGTGTGCTGTTTATTTTGGGGGGTGGTATTTTTTTTCCTCCGTGTTTCTTAAAGTTCACTAATTTCCTGCAATATCGAATCTTCCTTTAATCCTATCTGGTGTATTTTTCATTTCAGACATTATTGTTTTCATTTTTAGTTCAATTTGAGTCTTTTAATAGTTTCTATTTTTTACTTAGCACGCTGAATCTCTGCGTTAGCTTTTGACCATATGCGGTGTAGTTCAAATAACTGCTTTGGTGTCCTGTCTGCTAATTCTAACATCTGTGCCGTTTCTGGGTTTTTCCATTAGTTGATTCTTTTATTGCCCCATTATGGGTCATTTTTTTCCTGTTTCTTTGTTTGTCTAGCATGTTTGGGTTGGATATCTGACATTATGAATATGACTTTGTTGGATGCTGGATGTTGTTGTTTCTGAGGTTTGTGAAGTTAGTTGGAACAATTTGCTCCTTTTAGGACCTGCTCTTCTTAGGACCTGTTAGGCAGGTCAGGACAGTGTTTAGTCCAGGGCCAGGGGTTTCCCGCTGCTCAGGTGAGACCATCTTGGGGCGACACCCAGTGTCCCATAAGTGCCAAGGCGTCCGGTCTGGCTGGTGAGCTGCAGGTGCTGTCTCCATGCACAGCGTGTGACTGTGAATGGGCTCCAGGGCCCAGGAGCTCTCTGTCTGCTCTCTCCTCCTTGGCTCCCTGCCCTGCAAACTCCAGGGGCCTCCGTCTCTCTGGACTCTTAGCCACTCTCCTCCCTGTTACGCAGCAGTGAAGGGGGGCAGTCCTCGGGCTCACCTGGTTTGTTTCCTGTCTCCAAAACCAGAAAACCAAACCCATTGCCATCGAGTTGATTCCAGCTCACGGCAACTTTATAGGACAGAGTAGAACTGCCCCATAGGGTTTCCAAGGAGTGGCTGGTGGATTTGAACTGCTGACCTTTTGGTTAGCAGCCGGGCTCTTAACCACTGACCACTGTCTCCGGTGTCTTGAAAGTCCTCGTTTGACACGTTGTGCCTGTCTCGTTAGTTGTTCCCGGTGGTAGGGCAAACCCATTTCCTGTTGCGTCATCTTGGCTGGTGGCAGAACTCTGGCCTGCGAGGCTTCACTGGAAGAGTCTGTCTGTGAGCATCCTGGCCCATAGACCCCACCGAGCAGTGAGACCTGCACTGTGTTCTAGTCACGGCTTTGAGCTGGGCACACCACTCCTCCCCCTGCATTCCCAGGCCCTGAGCCCCCGTCGGGCGTGTGTCCTGTAGTGGTGGTCCCCCCCCACCCACATTCCCAGGCCCTTAGCCCCCGTCAGGTGTGTGTCCTGTAGTGGTG